AAATCTTCTTTCCGCATATTGTTTTTAAATAAACAGTCCTCGACACTACAGATAATTTCTTCGTACGGTAATTTGCGTACGGTAATTTAAGAAAACAACATGCCCGTAGAATATGCAGTATTACTCAGACACTGCCTTACATCTGGCTACCTGTTGTGGAAGGAGGAGTTCTACAAGCAAGTAGATAGTGTGGCGATGGACTCACCTGTATCTCCCATTGTCGCCGACATATTCATGGAAGACTTTGAGGAGAAAGCCCTGCTTAGTTCTCCCATAAATCCAAGGTTCTACAAGCGGTACGTAGACGACACTTTCACAATTCTACCTTTAGATAAAATAACTGCATTTTTAGACCATCTTAACTCTATAAATTCTAAAATTCAGTTCACAATGCAAACAATTCCTTAGCTTTTCTAGATGTGTTAGTAATTCGGAATCCTGATAACACCTTGAGCCATACTGTGTATAGAAAAAAGACCCATACAGATAGATATTTAAACGGTGATTCTCACCACCATCCTTCACAGTTAGCTACCGTGCGTAAATCTTTTTCAGAGAGCACGAGGGATCTGTGACAGTAAACACCTGGCTGCAGAGCTACACCATGTCAAGCAAGTTTTGCATGACAACAAGCTTCGAGTCCCGCGCCTACGTCACAGTGAACGAGTGAAGCCGGCCACAGTCGAGCGTGTACCTGCTGTACTGCCATATGTTAGAGGAGTCACTGACAAGATTGGCTACATCTTGAAGCGCGCTTCCATCAAAACATACTTCAAGCCGCTGAAGAAGATTGGTCAGTTTTTACCATCGGTCAAGTGTAATGTCCCTCTGCAAGATGCAGGAGTATACAAGCTTGATTGTGAATGTGGTCTCTCCTACATAGGACAAACTAAAAGATCAATAAAAACCCGCGTTAAAGAACATATAGCTGATGTGAAGAATCGACGCTCCGGAAAGTCTGCAGTCTGTGAACACGTACAGGATCGCCTCCGTCACTACATCAGATTTGATAGACCGCAGATCCTCGCTAAGGAACACCGATTCCTTCCAAGGATGATTCGCGAGGCTATTGAAATCAAAAAACATCCTAATTTCAATAGAGAAGATGGCTGGGTGCTACCATCTGCTTGGGATCCTATAATAAATAAAATTAAATCCCAACCCAAGCATACAACTGCAAGACTTCAAGATACCATAAGTTCATACTGCATAGATCGGAACAAAAGTTAAATTTTAATCTATGGTAACCGCGGTTAACTATGACATCTGGACGTTGAAGATCTCAGTCCTTCCCGTGACCATGGGTGCTGTAAAGCTCTCGAAACGTCGGGTATTTAAAAAGTTAAATATACGCGATAAATTCCGTAAAAACTAGTATTATTTCAACGTGGGGAGTTTGTTGCCAATAATACAATATACTGCCAGTGCGGCGTAAAAAAGAATTGAGTCCGTCCCACAAAATTCTCGGTTGGCTTTCAAATAGGTCACTAACATTGGTTCTAGAACCCTCCCGACAACCCGACTCGGCTTGTTTGCGAGTTTTGTTTGTTTGTTTGCCACTTGGGGTATGCGAGGAAGTCGCGGTTGATTTTCGAGAGGCGTACTACCCATTTCCATAATCACCTTTTCAAATGTGCATTTCCATAATCGCCTCTTCCAATGTGACCTCATTTCATTCAATGTGTCCACCACAACCAGAGGATCTACAGCAGCATCCGCGATGGTAGTTTACGAAGCCACATTCCTAGTCATAGCCGGTTCATTCGATGAGGAAATAGCCACAAGCCGTAGTCGTTCGAGATCGGCATCATCAAAAAAAATTTGACCTCATGATGTACCGAACTCGGTCTGCCAGGTTTGACATGCCTAAGTTACTCACCGGGGTTGCGACAAGCTCAACAGATGTCGACGCTGCCATCCCTTAGGATACATCTCCGATAGTTATTGGTCTTAATAACGTGATCCTTTATCGTACAAACAAATTCCTAGTTTTCCAAAAGAGGTTACCGAAACGTAGCCAGTGAAGGGAGGCAATTGTGTCTACAAAAAGGCTCATGTAGAGTCTTGTGGTACCTCCCGTGAAGCTTCTTCTCCTTCCATACGATCTCCCGGTCGAATATGCTCCGTACTGCTGGGTCTAGCCATTGCTCGTTGGCTAAAGATGTAGGGGTAAGGCCTTTATCACAAGAAATGACGTCAGTGTAGAATGGATCATCCGATCTCGTCAAGAAGTAATTATAGAGGCTGCACACTTCGCGATTATGCATAGTGCAAGCGCTTAAAAAGCCACGCCCACCATGCTTCTGCGACAAGTACAGCCTCGATACCTACAATCTCGGATGATACATTCTATGGGACGTCATAGTAGTGCGAACTTTTCTATCTGGGGAAGTTCAGTTTGAGTCTACCTGAGTATGTTAAAAAAATACATGAGGACAAGCATGAACCAACCGATATATGTGTGTGTCTTATTTACGACCTTTAAAAGACTGTTAAGAATTTTGGTCAAGCGTGCATAAAACACATCGCAAACTGACTGTTTCATACGCGCCTCATCGATACCCATGTTCTGTGACATACCCAGGTATCGGTATGTTTCAGCCTCGGAAAGGGTCCTTATGTTGATGGACATAGATAAATCTATGGCCTCCGAGTTGGCAACCCTACACCTTTCAATATATACTCGTAGAATTACAAACTTATCTTTTACAGTTGACCCATGGTAATCTGACAAACGTTTTGCAAGGCCTTTATCGGATTTGTCGCCTTTGTCGGATTATCAAATTTGTAGGACAATAGAGTACTGCCACAGTCCCTTGGTAGTCGGGAACTTTTGTAAAAAGTGTACCTGGTAATCCGATATATAATCGGAAATATATGATAATAGAAAATAAAAAACATGTGATGCATAGTGAATACCTAAACAGTAAATAATGAACACCCGCTGGGCCACTACACGCGTCATATTCAAACTTAGAAAATACACGTCAGACAAAATTCTCATTTGCGCAAACTAGTTAGCACCTGTGTGTCCACGTATTTGGAAAGAATAGGTCGGATTACCGGGTGTTTCCGAAACCCGTTTATGCTAGCAGATTCCAAGTAACAAGAACTAGAGGGCCATGAAGGGGCGCTTAAGTTTCCCAGCGGCTTCATCTCCGAGCAAGATCAATCCTCTCTCGCTCAGCAGCGTTTTTCTGGACATCACGGGCTCAATAAAAGGCTAAGGTACTCCACTCAACGTCTCCGCTCAATATCGCCAACGCGATTGCTAGCAGGGAGAGGTCCCACCCGTTTCGACTCATCAGAACTCGCACCTCCATTCCCCATGTTGGGCATATAGTGAGCTTATGTATTGCGAAGTGATGATCTATCTTACCAAAGTGGAAGTAGATTAACGTCGTTTTGCGTATGATATTACATACGCAAATATTCACCTAAACATTCGAGTCTGGCGCTTTCAACTGAAGAATTATGCTGACGAATATACTTCTATGCTTCCGGTATTAGTCACCATCGATCCATCCATTATAGCCTATCAAAAGTACACTGCTGATCATAGGCCTCACCCATAGATTGCTTCATAGTAATTTTTCCAAAGTTGCTACGATTGGCAGGCGTGGTGGCAACCACAGTTTTTTACAATTTTGCGATGTTACCAGGAAGATGCTTCTGCCCATCTCCTGTTTCAGTTTTCGCCTCTTACGATACCGCCGAGACGAATTTGGGTAGTGGAAATTCTTACACCGCTACCACACGATTAGCCATGTCACCCAGTTACTATATAAGCAATTAACAGTCTAGAACCACGTACGAGCTCTATATGTCATCTCACTAGCACCACGCACAACTTGCTCACTCATGTTTTAGGGGCCTATTTTGAAAAAAAGATGTGAAAAATGTTTCATAAATTCCCGAACGTTGCGAAAGCCGAGTAGATAGTCCTCTTTTTTGATTAATGTTATTATAAAAATGGGTACAAAAATTAAGTAAAAGAAAGAGTACAAAAATCTTCATGCGTAATCATCATCATACGAGTAATGCAAGTAGGTGTCTATTAAGTATCTTGTATATATTATAACGGAGTTCACAGTTTCTGCGTGTGTTATACTTGCAATATTAGGTCTTTACTTATGAAATTGCCGTTTCTTATGAAATATGTTAATGTAATTTGTTTTTCTATATTTTTATTTCTATTATTCAAATTAATTACCCATGCAATCGATGCATCTTTGCCAACGCGCTGTCAGTTTATTAATGCCTTTCTTAAAGAAATCAGCTGGACGGGACGCAACAAAAAATTCTTCAAAGGTATTTTGTACTGCCTGAGTAGTGCAAAACAAGTCACGACGCGTACTTAGCGCTGGCGATCATTGATTTCGTGGGTTCGTCAAGCTTTTTTATCTTGTCAATTTGACGCAAATGGACTAATATTGTATTGACCATTGAAAAAGCCCTTCTTTTTTCTATGGTTTTGATGTAAAGGTCAAAAGTTACTGCTAACTTAGCCTTAGACTGAGTATAATCAGCTTCCAAAATCGCCTTTAATTTTTTATTGTCGATCAAAGTTTTCAGAAGAAAAATAAACCCCGTGGTTCATTTTTCAGTTCGAAATTTCCATAACAGAAGCGGACAAACCGATAACAGGTGGTGCGTTCGTTCGTAGCATTGGCTCCGTAAACTTTGTTGACGTTGCGTGCCGCATGTGGCGCGTTGTTGCCACGACGGTATATTCCATAATTACTCGAATTTTTAACTTTCTATGATGAAGAAAACAAATCAAATGCGATGAAAACAGAACGTTAATCAATAAACAAATGACTGATTTTGAAAAAATAATTCCATGTTTTTAAATTAAAATTGATTTGAAATTAGAATTCTCAGCCAAACGTAAAATTATTTTGATTTGAAATGGCCAGTTCTGCAGTACGGCAATTTCATCGGTAAAGACCGTTAGAAGGAAAGAATATTATTAATAAAAGAGGTACAAGAAAACATACCTGCTTTAAAGTAGTTGTTACGCTCTTCTTGAAGTGGCTTGTTGGGATATTTATTAAATTCGTTGTCGTGTTTATCATTACACACAAAGTAATTATTCGAGTTCAGCGTTGATTTACTATTCAAATCTTTTTGCGGGGAGTACTGAATATTCATGTAAAATTCTTTAGAGGGCAATGTATCCTGAACACTATATTTGTTTTTTGTTGGTTCACTGTGAGAAGGTATATTTAGTTTGTTTGATTTTTCATCTTGAGTCTCATTTTCACTTGCTCCGTTTAAAACAATCTTCTTTATAGTTGTTATTTCTTCCGTTTCACTGATTTTATGTTCTGTGACAGTTAGATGGTTTGTCTTTTGTTCGTTTTTATGTATATCACTGTCGCTTATAGAATTCGGTACTGAAGCTTTTTCTTCTTGACTATTTTCTATATTTTTACCATTGGGTCTAAAGTATTTTTCAAAGGGATCACTATTCCTTTTAGTTTGAAAAGGATTTTTTTCATTGAATTTTATTTCATTAGAGACATCGCATCTATTCGTCGCTTCAATTATTTTTGAATTATTGTCACGTATAAAATGGCCATCTTTAACGTTATAGTTTAAATTTGAGGTCTCGGAATCGTATCCGTTCGTATTTCCCATGTCTACATAATTTGAGAAAATAGTACTGTGAGGACCAGAATCATCTGTTAACGAAATATATGAAGGTGATTTGCCATTCAAATATTGTTCATTTAATAAGAAATTTTCTTTAGGTTTACTTATGGATTTACTTCTATCTAAGCTACTAAAAGAAGCTCTGCCATTTGGTATTGGTAATTTGGAAGCACTTGAATGATTTGATGATACTGTTGTGTAAAAAGGGTTTGTTGGATGAAAATGAAATGGTTCTTCATTTGCCGCGCCTGATTTAACAAGTGACGTTGAATTCAATGTTGCTGGTAATGAGTTGAGAGAAGACTGGGAGAGCGATTGAGTGGGTCGATTTTGAGACGAATTTGATGGCCGTATTGTTGCATATACCGGAGCTTGCAGCGTAGCTATTTTGTTGTTAACTTCAGAGAGCAGATGAGATGGCCCTGAAATAAATATCAAATTTAATAAATACAAATAAAGCAGTAACTACTCTAATATACTTTAGATGCAAATCTAGTCTGCGCACTAATAAAATTGTCAATTGTAATTTTTCAAATCTGATTTAGTAAATACTCATAATTTTTATTGGTACAATGGAATCAGGACAAATTTATTGTTTAAGATTTTGTCTCAGGACTATTGTATTCAAGGAAGTTCGTTTTGAAATAATGGGATTTCTAATTGTTATTTAAAATAAAGATATTATAATGGATTTCCGCAAAGTAACGCCTGATTCTATCAATTATGTTATTTAAAATTTCTTTTTTTCACAAGTTTAATGTTATAATATTCACATCATGATATAAATGCGACTTGAAATCGTATGGTAGTTAGTGATGAATTTTTAACTATTAAAAATGTCAAAAAAGAATTTTATTACCTAATTAAAGTCGTAACTTGGCAGTAATACTTTTACAGACTATCATGGAAGCTACGAAATATAGATAACGGAAGCATAGCTTTCCCATTAGGTGGGAGATGATAGTCGTTAATCCCGCCGACGATTGAGATTGCAATAATCATAGGTAACGTGTTTGTCCTCACTTAAGGCAAATATGTAATACAATGGAGTAGACCATTATATACAAGAAATAAATGAAGACTCAGTAGCGTAATGACTAAACGTTTCATTTTGAATGTAATATTTTTTATGGATTCTTTATCGCGTTTAATTAATTTATTTTTATATTCCCGACGTTTAGAGTATAGGTAAGCACCCATGGTTAAGGAGGGACTTAGGTGTTCGAGAATCTACTTCTTCTTTTTGTTATTTAAAAAAAATGCTACCTCCTCCACTAGGATTTTTATCTATTGTATTTTTCATAAAGTCCCTTCTCTCGCGTTTTACATACACACTTTACACATGGAGAAATATCCAGATCCAGAACAAATATTTTTAAAATACCCGTTCCGTGCGCTCCGGTCCGCAGCTCGTTCGAGTTAAGAGGCCTACAAATAATTGTTTCGCGTCTTGATGTTTATCCATGTACAACTTATATTTATATTTTACTGTCACGATACAGAATAATTCCTCATGTGAGAGTAAAGAGTTTTATTAAGAAAATAAGAAAATTAAGAAACGCTTAGCCACTGTGCACCAGAGTCGTAGCATAAACTTTTGTCAATTCATTTAACACGTGTGCTTCGCGTAGTACAGTTTTTTTAATGTATATTCAACGATTTCTAGGAATCAACGCACTGATTTAAATCGTACTTCTTTAATTAAATAGTCACTTTAGGGGTAGTCCCATATAAATTTAAAGTTTTAATAATCAGTACAAATTAAAACTACTGATATTTTTTAAAATATTGGATTTTCGATATATCGATAAATAAGCTAATATATAAAACTCCGATATTGATATATTTATAATTATCAGGATATCAAAAATTCAATATTTTAAAAAATATCAACAGACACAGAAACAGAAACTTTTTATTAAACGTAGATTATAACAATACTTATTGAAATTCACTTTTTTCATTTACCACTGGTTCGCAAAAAACCTCTGTCCTGGGAAACCAGCAAGAAACCCAGCGGGACTAAATTTTTTTCCAATAATAGCTTACAATCATGTTTAGAATTAACAACACAATACAAATTAGAAATAGCTTAACAGTTTTAGTTTGAACTGATCAGTTGAAATGATCGTGTGTGGCGTCCATAAGGTGGAAAGATAGGGTATGAAGTTTTAATGCAATTATTTTGACGACTTTCTAGTTGTTACTTTGAGCTTGTAATATTCCTTAGTGTACTCAAAAGTATTAAAATTTTTTTTATATAACAATAAACATATTTACTCTTTAGAGCTTCTGAAGTCTTCGATACACAACATATCTTAGCTCCAACTTCAGCTATTATTTGGTATTATTATTTTGATTTCTTAGAAATAAAAATATAATATAATTCCCCACTACAAAATATATTAACATTATTACGTTTAGAAACTTACTTTTCAACTCGCTCGTTCTGCCAATAGATCTTCTTCGAGGTGACATTTCTCTGTCTCTGGCGACAAGAAAACTTAGATTAGAACACGGCAATGAAATGGCGTAGTAACAGGCAACTTTGAAAATAAATAATGATTAAAGAGAGCAATTGTTTTTCAAACCTCAAATTTTAATACTCCGTAAGCCATCGCTTGTTCGTAAACGAGGAAGATTATAAAACTTCATGACATCATGAACAAAAACAAATTACTTTGGACGCCTAATCTCTATCCGTCCCGTGTCGTTATAAGAATCTAGTACTTTAAAAAGGAATATGCATTATTCTGTTGCATCTAACTTTAGTTTTCCTGTTTGACAGCATGTGTCAGTGTCCAACTTTCTTGATTTTTGAGTTTGATATTATAATTTTACATTACAATCATATTTAAATATAATTTATACAATTTCAATTTTGAGCACATTTTTACCGGTTCTACATAGAAAAATTATAGTTCGATTATGATATCTTAAAGTTTAATAACGGAATTAGTAATAATTAAAGTCGGCACGCGTCTAGTTTAATACCGAAACGTATACGTAGACTTTTGACGGTTTTATTTTTATTTGTGTGTTCTTTTTGTCTAAAGAACTTAGTATAGCTAAATTTTGAATATTCGTGCCCAATATATTTTATATTCAATAAGGGTAATACAAAAAGAATACAAGAGAAACTATACCCACTTAATTGAAACTGAAAATCTGATTCATAAAATATTTTGAAATTCTGTTTTTAATCCGATTGCTTCTGAAGATCGTGGTAGCCCCACATTATAGTTGTATCAAGGATACAACATAAATGCATCGTCGAGCACTGATTGACCAGAAAGGGAGCTAATGCTAATTTTATTTAAAAAAACGCGGTCCTCATATTCAATACAGAAATTCTTGATATCGTAGGGTTAATATTAAAAAGTAATAGGACCCAATAATAATACAAGTCGGCTTAGTATTATTACTATACTACATACACACTATGAAATAATGGTACAAATACGACAATAATACTACGAAATCAGACCCTGGTTACGTCGTGTTATGACGTTTGTATAATGACACATACGCTACTTTTTCTTGTATGAAAAAGTTATGAGTAAAATATTTAGATGGGCCTATCCTTCCATTTGAAATCGTTGCCTGTGAGACCGCCTATGGGCAGGCCTATGTGCCATACCTTTCTCTTTCCTAGATATTAATCAGTTTTAATACAAAAAAGCCCTGTATTTTTTTAAGTGTATAACGAAATCTTACTGGTCTAAGAGCTAGAGAGTGGTAGACTAACGATATTTCAATAAGTTTCACGTTTTTTCAGTTAGTTATATTATACCTGAGGTACATGAAATGAGGACTCTTTAGTTCGACCGGCGAGACGCTCAGGCGTAAAAGGTGTAAATAAATGACTGAAAAAAAAACGTGAAAGTAATAAGTCTGTCGCTTACGGTATTTCAATAAGCTTCACATTTTTTTCAGTTAATCAGGTATACGACCTGAGGTACATGAAATGGAGACTCTTCAGTTCGACCAGCGAAATGCTCAGGTGTAAAATGTGTAAAGAAATGATCGCAAAAGAAAACCTTAAAAGTAATAAGTCTGTCGCTTACGGTATTTCAATAAGCTTCACAATTTTTTCAGTTAATCAGGTATACGACCTGAGGTACATGAAATGGAGACTCTTTAATTCGACCAGCGAAACGCTCAGGTGTAAAAGGTGTAAAGAACTGACCGCAAAAAAAAACTTAAAAGTAATAAGTCTGTCGCTTACGGTATTTCAATAAGCTTCACATTTTTTCAGTTAATCAGGTATACGACCTGAGGTACATGAAATGGAGACTCTTTAGTTCGACCAGCAAGACGCTTAGGTGTAACAAATGCTCGAAGAAAACGTGAAAGTAATAAGTCTGCCGCTTTGACATCTTGAAATATTCAATAAAAGTTACTGAATAATAACATTGGCAGACACACCTATGGCAGTTTCAAGGTCATGTCAGATAGATTGGCAAGTACATTTTTTTATAATTTACGTTATTTCAATAAAGCTTCAATTTATATAATATGTTGTTGATAAAATTATTTGACATGATATATATTTTGCATGGCAGACACATATTGAGGTTCTATCGTCCAGGCAGACAACTTTTTACACCTTTCACAACTAAGCGTATCTATATCAACTGTCGGTCGAACTAAAAAGTCCCCATTTCATGTACATCAGGTAAAGGGAACTAACTTAAAAAAAACGTGAAGCTTATTGAAATCCCGTAAGCGACAGACTTATTTCTTTCTCAATTTTTCGGTAATTTTTTACACCTTTCACACCTTAGCGTCTCAATATTAACCGCCGGTCAAACTAAAAAAACCCCATTTCATGTTCCTCAGGTATAGGGAACAAACTGAAAAAAACATGAAGCTTATTGAAATGCAGTAAGCGACAGACTTATTACTTTCACGTTTTTCGGTATTTTTTTACACATTTCACACCTTAGCGTCTCCATATCAAACGCCGGTCCAACTAAAAAGACCCCATTTCATGTTCCTCAGGTATAGGAAACAAACTGAAAAAAACATGAAGCTTATTGAAATGCAGTAAGCGACAGACTTATTACTTTCACGTTTTTCGGTATTTTTTTACACATTTCACACCTTAGCGTCTCCATATCAAACGCCGGTCCAACTAAAAAGACCCCATTTCATGTTCCTCAGGTATAGGAAACAAACTGAAAAAACATGAAGCTTATTGAAATGCAGTAAGCGACAGACTTATTACTTTCACGTTTTTCGGTATTTTTTCTACACATTTCACACCTTAACGTCTCCATATCAAACGCCGGTCCAACTAAAAAGACCCCATTTCATGTTCCTCAGGTATAGGGAAAAACTGAAACTGAAAAAAACATGAAGCTTATTGAAATGCAGTAAGCGACAAACTTATTGACTCACGTTTTATAGGCCATTTTTTTACACATTTCACTTCTTAGCGTCTCTATATCGACCGCCGGTCCAACTAAAAAGACCCCATTTCATGTTCCTCAGGTATAGGGAACAAACTAAAAAAAAAAACATGAAGCTTATTGAAATGCAGTAAGTGACAAACTTATTACTTTCACGTTTTATAGGCCATTTTTTTACACATTTCACTTCTTAGCGTCTCTATATCGACCGCCGGTCAAACTAAAAAGTCCCTTTTCCATGTACCGTAGGTGTAACGGAGTAACTGAAAAGAATGTGAAGCATATTGAAATACCGTAATACTGCCGCTTACTGGCTCTTAAACTATACAATATGAAAGTTACATTACAAATACCAGTCTAAGTTTTTGGAAAAAATGTTGAATTTTACTGAAAATTATTAACAGTTTCCTGCGAACACTAATAAAGCAGGTTGCAGTTGAATACTATTGTAAAGGATTCCAGTTTTTACCTTTGTTAAAAACCGTAATTCATTCAAATTGCTCTTTCGATCATTCATTCTCCTATTCCGAGACCATTTGCATCGTCACACAAAGGCTGAACTTCAATCTACGTCAAGTCTAATCTACGTAGCAGACAGTCGTTCGATTCTCATGCAAAACGCCGTACTGTGATCGGATTAACGCCACTGGCGTATATCGTTCGTTGCACAGATGTCTGTGCTAGTGTACGTAGTATGTACCATGCGCACAAAGTTGGTATCATGCGCACAAAGTGTAGATTATATACGTTAATGGAAATATAAAGCATTTAGGATAAGATTTAAGATCATGTTATACTACACTTTAGTTTTACACGTATGTATAAGTTAAGATATACGCGTGTGGATTTTGCTATCATAAAATCATAATAAAAGTATTTTGCATCATTTTAATATCGCCGTGTATTTGAGATAACATAGTTTACGTCCGTTAAGTAATCGCATATATTACACGATGAGTTGTTTTTTTTAAATGAGTGGGGGTAAAAGAGCTTAGAGAGAGCTTAGCTGATAGTAAATGACCACCGCCCACGAACTACTGCAACACTAGGGCAATTGTAGGAGCGTTGCCGATTTTCAAAAAAAGTAGGCTCTTTTCTTATAGGTCCCTAAGTGGTATCGGTCCAGAAAAATCGCTGGTGTTTTCCGATTCCACAAACAAATTATGCAAGTAAAGACTTTTGCTAAATTACACAATGATGGACCGCCAATCATCCAGATGGTATGGATGTTGTCGATAATTTTGTCGCGATATGCGATGGTAAAATTTAGCAACTGGATTAATATTATAGTTACTACTGAATAAATTGGCACCTATCAATAAATATTTCCTTTTTTAAAGTAAGTAATACGTACGTAACGTGTACAAGTGTAGTAATTTTTTGCGTTTTAATAACTGTCATACAGTCAGTTTTTTTATATAGTATAGGGTGACGTACGAGCATACAGTCCACTTAATGATAAGTAGTTGCTGTAGCCCATAGACAACATCCCCATGTATCCTCGATTCATCACAATGCAGATGCGTTGTCACTCGTGAGAATTAAGATGGAATGCCTTGTTTCCAGTGAAAAGGATCTTCGGTTCTCTATACCCAACATACGAAACACAGCAGTCTGCCATTTTACACTGGTATTCTGTGAGATCGTGGTGCTTCCCGGTCGAGCCGACCCATTCATGCTACATCTATGCTACTAATATAACTGCAGCATGGCTCTACCACGTATAAAACAGGAATGACCACACACACTGAGTCATCAACCATGTCCGGCAGTGTGTTGCTCAAGTATTAGCTTCTGGCGCGAACCCAATAACTTTCTGAGTTATATAATAATAACTAACGCAGTACAAAAATAACTAGTTTTAAGAAATCCTGGATAAACTTAAAAATTTACTCCTTGTACATATTAAGTCTAGTTATACAAATAAATTTGCTCACTTACTCATTTAGACCCAATCGAAGCACTGGACCCGCTGACCGTAGCATAGCGTGAGCGTCTGCGTTGGTCATCGTCTTCGTAGGCTGACCATTTATTGATGATATAACATCGCCCTCCCGAATCCCGCTCAGCGAAGCTTTCCGGCCTGGATTAACCTGAAAAATAGTAACAACAGTTTCACAATATAATACCTTTCATAACAGAAACTTACTAATATTAGTAATTCGTATACATAGGCATGTACAATCATATAAGTACATACAATACTCAATGTAAGCGCGTTACTTTATATTAAAGTTAGGCAAGTAGCTATTTCATGTTTTTTTTACCCTTAAGCTATAAACTTCCCAATGCCTACTCTCAATTCTAAGAGTGTAATACGATAAAACACCCATACTACGAGTAGATCTTCGGTTTGGCGGTATCCATTCGCTTTCGAAATATTTTTTATTTCTTAGCACAAGATATTCCTTCCTTTACCTTATTTCATACACCGATTAATAAAAAGGAAGTCAATAAATAATAAAACTCAGCTACGACAAAAATTGCTTACTGAAAAGATAAAGATATATGATACATGATGTGTCTTCCCTAGTTTGAAGAGCACCTCCCGCCCTCCATCAACTGCGTGCACTAACCCCGTCACCACCAACCACTTAGCGGTCAACCGCCGTGGAGTCAACATCACCTGAAGATGCCTCGTGTAGAGACGAAACACGTGTCGTATTATCGTCGAAAGACGCGTCTTTCCTAGAATAGTGGTGTTTGGAGTAGTGGTGCTGAGATTAGCGGTGACGGGATTAGTGCACGCAATGGAGGGAGGGCGGGAGGTGCTCTTCAATCTAGGGAAGACACATCATTTTATTTAATTTAGCGGATGGTTCAAAGTAAATATTAATATCTTTATTATAATGGATTTCCGCAAAGTAACGCCTGATTCTATCAATTACTAAAAAGGTATTAAACAAATGTGTGACAAACATTCGTTTTCGTAGAGCCGTAGTTACAGTATATTACATGACCATGAATGACGTACCGGTGGTCGCGCTGTCGAGATCCAGGAATCACCATTGCTAAGCCGAGGCGAATCGCTAGTACTCGTATAATACACAAAAAGAAAGGTTCCGATTCACCCACTCATTTACTCACAGACTTATTACACCCAGTCTAAACCCTATGACTTAGCTGGAATTTTCCATAGAGGTTCAATTTATAATGTACAGCCGTGGCAGCTCAGAGGCTAAGCGCTCGGTGTAAATTTTACATTACCTACGCGAGGAACCCGGGTTCGATCCCCGACGGCATTAACGAAATTGTCAGTTGCAATTTTAAAGTGCTTATTATTCGAAAACATGTGAAGTTCACCAACAACCGTTGGAGCAGTGCGGCGGACATTTCTTTACACTGAAACCCTATCAGAAATGAGACGTATATAATGGGACATATATAGGTTGTAATTTACAAGGAATAAGGACTGATGTTTCGAAATTTCCACAGGTTCAGGTATAAACAGGATTTATCTTTTTGCTTTTAAGTTGCCATATTTACGTAACTACTTAGATATTTGAGACTTTTCGTATTTAGAATTTTTCGAAATTTCCACGGGAGAGGGAATAAAGAGGATTACTATTTTCACTTTAAAAAAAAGTTACCTTATTTCCGTATAACTATAATAATAAGAGACCTCAACTGTCGTAGTTAGATTTCAGTTTTTCAGTTAGAATCATTGGAGAAGTGCCTACCTAGTGCTTGCTAACTGTTTCAGTATCGGAACAATTGGACTTTAATTTATAAAAAGTATAATATACATATTCGGAATTTTATCGTTGAGAGCTCTCATTTGATTTGGTCGTGCTACTACCATAATATAATACTACCATAAATAAGTAAACGTACGTAACGTCTTAATATGGCCTACCTCTACCTCTACCCTCTGAAGAGGCTATCGACGATACCCTTCTCTTGGAGTATCCCTATTTCTTAAAATATAATTAACAATTTCAATTAATTATTACTAAAACTCACATAACTTAATACATTTCGAAAATCTTATCATTTTTTTTGTCTCTACATTTCTTTTCATATTATTTGATAGTATACATAATATAGGTAATATTATTATTGTGTATTTATTTTTATTCATAACTTTTGTTCCATTTTTAGTTAGAAAATAAAAGCCATTGCCATTATTTCGGTTCTCCTGTTTTTAAATTGTTTAACATCTATAACTAGTAAATGTAACTTTTTATAAAAATTAAATATAAGTATTAAAATATCCTTCATTGTATACTCCTACATTTATAGTTAGTACCCAGTTAATTTTATATATTATTTCTGACTTACTGTTTTTCTAGATCTTATCATTAATGTAATTTAAAAGTTACATTCAGTTTTTAGATACAGATTTTTAGATAAATCATATTACGATTTACAGCATTTTGCCGTCGGTAACTTTATAGCGTTTCTTTTGACACGTACATTTCGCTTCCTTAATTACAGCGTTTTTGAGGTCAGTGATTTTAAAATCTACTTGTTGTAAGTAGCTTAACTCATACTTTTAGACCAATGCAAAAAAGGGCGACATTATCTTAGATAGAATTTTGGAAGAACTGACCGTTTTACGTATTTAAAAAAGTGTTTTGGCTCTTTTTAATGATTTTAATTTATCTGCTTACAGAAATATTGCTATCAAACCCAGTATAATAAACATTATTTTAAGAGCTATTACAAAATTTACTAAAGTTCACTGTATATAAAAAAGTTGAGTCCACGGCCCCGGAAGTAATATAAGGAAGTATAAATAACAGGTCTTACGATATCGGGACATAAATATATCTCTGTTGATTGTATTGTTAGAAATCTTCGTTGTACGATGTACTCGTACAACGAAGATTTCTAACAATGATGAAAAAAATTCAAACAAAAAAATTTTTCATGAAAAAAAAATGTTACATATACTGTTATTTATAAAAATGTTTATAAAGGGTCAAAAGATGTCATAAACAATTTCCAATATACCAGAATCAAATATTCAGTGACACAATTTATTTGGTACATCAATTTGTTACAGCAAAGCTTATACAGTTAGTAGCTAGTTTTTTGGCAAGGAAATCAAAGAAAAAGCTGAAGCAAAATATGAGAGTAATCTAACAATGAGAAAAAGAAATAATATTGATGTGTTTTAACCATATTTAAATTCTGAGTACCACACATATTATAATCCATAATATTCAACAGCAGGTAGCTATCGAGCAGCGCGTTCATCGAAATAATGAGTTTATATAATATAACGTTCTAGAAACATTTTCCGAATATTCTTGTTGTTGTAAAAAATAAACGGAGCATGATAGAAATAATAATTAATTGTTCTTGAAACTTATTTCCAGCGGATTGTAATCAAAACACATTTTTCTAATTTTTCCTCGCCGAAATGTAAACGATGAAAAATGACTGCAAGATTAAAAGGGAGGGTCAGCGTCAAGCAAAACTAAGTCAATTTTTTTCAATTATAAAGCGAAATTCTTGACGTACAATATAAAAATATATAAGGACTAAAAAATATTTAAATATTTTTATAAATTCTTATTGAGGCCAGAGCCTAGCAGTGAAAAGAATGAAGGCTGTTACTGTTATTGATTACAACTTACTTATATTTTCCGTATTATGAAAGTCACTAGCAGTATTTACTAGCAGTAAGGGAGTACCTTTTCCATAATGTCTTACTTTTGGATTTTCTTTAGTATCCTAAAGTAGTTTTAAAAAACGTTTATTAATTTTCCCTTTTTATCCACGAAACCATACATTGAAACTAAAGATGATAATGAGCGGTCAGCTAACCTGATAGTAAGAAGTTCGATTTTTGTTTGCGTTTTTTGGTCTTCTTTTAACACAGCCGTTGTAACTTAGGGTTTAATCGTCTACCGTAAAGCGTCCCACAGTCGCGAGCAACCCAGGTTTGTGGACAATAATTATGTGAAATGCGGACTTATCACGTGCTAAGCTGCTAAGCAGTAAAAGAAAACATCATGCGTGTAACAGGCAGTGACAATGTCAAGTGAATAAAATCCGTACGCTTAGTACTAGTCATTTGTCAATTGCACTTGCCACTCGCACTTGTTACTTCTCAAAATGCAAATCGGGCCCGAATGTAAAATATTTCTTGTTTTCGAGTTCAACTGTGGCAGCGCGGCGGATTATTAGCTCCATAACACTCAGGATTTTAGCTGTTGGACGTTATGAAATTTTCTATGTTTATCTCTAATTCTTACACTGTTATATATAATATATCATGTGTAAGTGACAATTACTACTACTTCTGTTATTTATACTCCTCTACTTTCTGCTCAAATATATAGAGAGAGGCTTAGCTGATAGTAGTGATAGTAATACAAATGAAGAGCTTAGAGTACAAATCTTTAATTTTAAATAAATTTAAAAAAATACGCATCTTATTTTCTAATAATGATGTAGAAATAAATAACATTCGTTGTTGTCTATATCTGCTTATTTCAAAAGTAAAACCAGTGAACTGTCTCAAATTTTATCGCAACTATGCAAAGAAATGCACAACTGTTGAAAGTTACAAACCGCATTCGGCTCTCGCCGCCTCGCCGCCGGTGAACAGAACTTCAACATGTTTCCTTCCGGAAAGCTCGTACCAGTCCTTACGCCCCTACGCTCGTGTGAGTACACTCACGTGTACAAAAAGTAACACATATTCCAAAACATATAATGTACTTGGTTTGCTTAACGTTTCCTCTGTACCTAATGACACTACATCCCGAAAAATTACACTCTTGACACTTGAAAATTTTAAATAAAATAGCAAGCTACGCACAAAGCGGCACAAATAAAACCACTGAAAAGTGAATTTATAAGGGAATGATTGGGTTCGTTTAAAACATTATCCACTTGTCTCCGTGAAAGCCACGACAGATACTAAACTCACGATCCGAACATACGATGTAAGAGCCAATTTCATCGGAACATTATAAGGGCATTAAACGAATATGCATGCGCTGCCGTGAGGACGTAGCTATTGTTATATCAGGGTTCGTCACTCGTTAGGAATATTAATCTTGTTGGAGGCGAGTCGAGGAGTCGCGCCCCTGGATTGTGGTGTTAAGAGCCTTCAAGTACGTAAAAGGCCGTTGAA